TTAAGCAGAAGGCAAGGCTACAAGGGAACGGGGAGGGCTGAGGTAATGGAAAGAGAAATTCTGTAATTCCTCAGTGTGCGCCCATGTCCTGTGTGTCACCCAGCCCTCTCACAGGCAGAAAGTTGATGGAAATTTAGGGGTAGAGGGGGCTGGCGGGGCCTCATGTTAAAATTTCCTCCAATTTAATTATTCAGAATGGAAGTGAAATACCGCTAGAGGTGATTAAATGAGCAATACTGCGCAGGGAGAGGCAGGCAGAGCCCAGACCTCATTTCCACAGAACTTCGCATTGCAGAGGAACAGTTTGCCCCTGTCCCCACCCTCACTTGCAAGGCAAAGCTGGCGTAATGAGGGACCTCAGAAGAGTTTCCAGGAGACCTTTCTTCTCCCAGAGATGCAGTGGGGTAACAACCAGGTGCTACTGCCTTCCTCAACGTCTCAACTGCACCAAATGTTTCAGCAGTTGCATTAACACCTGGCTTTGAGAGATTGCTCATTAGCCCTTGGGTCCTGTGCCACTTTAAGTAACCTTTTAAGAACACCTTTTTATAGCTTGTGTGCTCTGTTTTTCCTCAGGCCACAAGTTAAATGCACTGAACAACACCAGGGGCAAAGTGAGACAGAAATAAATAGGTGCATATGCACATACCTACAACCCCCCACATACACACACACAATAGGGCCAGAGATCAATGTCTTCAGGAAAAGGCATGAGGGGATAAATTCATCGCAGTGCTTTGTCACTGGTGGCGAAGGAAAGAAAAAGGAACGTTTAAAAGGGTGATGAAATGTTTCAAGAAAAAGCAATATATTTTTATGTACTTGTAAAATCCATTGGCAATGACTTTTCTGGTTAATTGGTTTCATCTTATTAAACAAAAAACCTATTTGTAAAATCCAGACATATTCAAGCATAAGTCCAATTTCTTCACCAAAAGCCAATATGCCATTTCAAAGAAGAAAATCAAGCAATACAAACTAGTTTCCATTAGTCTGAAAGCACAGCACTTGGTATGGGGAAGAGAAATGGAATGGAGTGCTTGACTTCTCTAAAATGCACTTAGGAAAAATCATGTTACTCATTTACCCCAAAACTGCAGCCCCCTTCTTCCCCAGCTCTGTGAAAACGGATGAATACTTTGGCCGAATTACACAGTGATTTATAAATCAGCCTTCTGCTATCTTTCCCTGCAACTGTCACGTTCAACTTCTTCCCCCTTATTAGACCACTCTCCTTCTCATTAAATAGTCCTTCTGTCTCACTTGCCAAAGAACTGCCAATGGGCCCCTCATTTTATGGAAGAATAGACCCAGCTTTACCAATGGGAAAGGGCCTCTAATGTACCACGGACACAGCACAGTGAAGCATGGTAATTTGCCTGTGTTAATGATGCTACTTCACAATGATCAGGAAAACAAAAATCTTTAATAGCTAAATGACACCCAGTCCGTCTGCAGCCTGTTGAATTCAAAACCAGTGGAAGCAAAACCCAATGTCCTTTAAGAGATGAGCTAAAAGATGCTGCAATGTTCCTTCTTTTTTTTTTTCCTTAATTCCTAATCTGTGTGGAATCACTGAAATGGGTGATTTGCTGCTGGGAGCAGGACAGAAAAACCAATCCAAGTGTTTCAAAATGTTTTAGTGGCTTAAAAGCAAGGGGTATTAGGGGGAAAAAATTAACATATATGCAAACATTTTTGTACATACTATACACATGCATGATTCTCAACTCCCCAGTTACTCTGTTCTGTGGGAGGATTTTGTGCAAAATACCACTGACAAGTGAGACTAAAGCATAATTGCTTATTTTCTCCTTTTTAGGTGAAAAGAGGAAGTCATTACTGTGGGAAGAACAGAGGGGCAGTCTGCACGTGTCATTGCTTATTTCTGAGGATACTCCAACTCAGCAAAGTCCCAAGCTCTTGAGTGGTAAATCAACCCCAAGAAATGCTTTCAACCTCAGTTCTCATCAGAAGCTTTTAGCTTCTTACAGTTGGGTTCCCTAGGCTGCCTGGCTAGGCAAACCACTGACTGCTTTGCCCAGTCAAAGTCTAGTTGCTCCAAAGAGTGAATCTTCAAATAGAGCACATTAACTTACACAGTGGGAGAAATTCTGCACTCATATTTGGCCAAACACGACAGGCAGAACTGCACTGACTTTGATGACATTATTTGGTGTGTACCAGAAGGGACCAAAGATCATAAGCAATCATATGGTGCGTGTTTGGTAACCCTTTGGCGCTGTTGAAAGGTTGGGGAATAGACTTAAACACAGGTTCATGAAAAAAAGATGAACCAATATTTACAATATTGCTCATACAAGAAAAGGCTTCTATGATATTTTCCAAGGGCAGAGGGACTGATTTGTCAGAAGCTGGCCAGTTATTGTAGATTTTGTAGCTGTCTGATTGGCAGACTTCACACATTCCTTGTCCAAAACTTTCTGGTACAGCTGTGCCAAACAGGAGCAGGGACTTGAATTCAAGAGGGCTGCAGGAAGGCAGAATTGCTGAGAAATGAGGACCAAGCCATTTCAATGCAGCACGTGTCCAAGCATTCTTCAATTCATGATGTTCAACACTTGACAAACCTTGAGGTAAATCTCTATTACAATTAAGTGACAGTTTATGCTGTAGAGTGTTTGGGGTGGGTTTTTTTATGATTATTCACTGTAGAGTTCATCAGTTGATTGTCTTATTGTCTCATGAAATTATATGCTTACCACAGGAAATGTTTGTCAACGCAGGTTGAAAATAAGCACCTAAAGACTCTCTAAATACCTTTTTACTCAATCTGGAGTAGCACTCAAGGGGAGTACTAAAATCTTTGAGACAAATGCCGCACACCACACATTAAAATTCCCAAAAATGTTGTATTCTTAAGCCTTTCTTTACTAATGTGCCTGCTTCAATTAAAAAACTTGTTGTAAAAATCCCCCAAGATGCATATTTCAATGGCTGGCTCAACATTTCATTTGCAGAAAATGTAGCTGCAGAGAGAGCAATGGGGTTTTGGGAGGGACATAACCAAATCAGCATTTTGATGTTCCTTAAAGACCAATGATTTACTGTTAATTTAAATCTTAACATTTTCTGAATGAATAATTTTGATACCTTTCATCTTGAGTTCTGTTGACCTTGCCAAGTTGAGAACATAATACTTATCAGCAATTTATCAGCAAAACCATGGGTGATGCTTCAGAGGCCTGGTATTTGAGACCTGTACAAAGTCTCTCTGAAGTCAAGAGAAGATTTCCAGCTGTGACACAGCACAAGCGCTTCTCCAGTGGGCCATTCAATCTCCCTGCCAGGCCTTGTTCAAAGCTGCTTGGCAATGTGAAAAAGGCACACTGCCTTCAAGAGCCTGAGAGCAAAATAAACCTTCATCCTTGGGACAAAATTCACTTCTGCAGCAGAACTGGCAGAGATGCTCTTCTGGATACTGCACTTCTCAAATTGGCCAGGGCATGAAACCAAGAGAGATCTCACTTCTGATAATGAATAGCCACCCCCTCATCCTGCCAATCTAGCGCAGTGCCACCTCCTCCTTTGGGGCAGCAGAAACAGTGGAAGCAAATTCAGAGGCAGGAGAGAGAGCCAAGTACACAAGCCACAGCCGCTTTTTACTGAGGTCCTGTGCTGCAAAGCCTTGAGCTGTTCAGTGAGCACATCAAGAGTGGCCTGATGTCGTGGCTGCTCCCTCCTCTGCCCTTGTCTAAAGCAACAGCAATGCAGCAAAGGCATGTGAACAGAAAGGTTGGAGAATCTCACATAGCACAGAGCTTCATCTCTTGGTGTCTCTCTTGGTATCAAACCGTTATTGTGAATACTACTGCTCACGGTTGCTAACGCAGTTCAGTGCAGTGGAGTTGGTACAAGGTACTTGTCATAACATATTAAGTAACATCCATGATTTCCCCTCTAGATTTCTCAAGAGGAGTGCATAGGTGCAATCATTAGATTAATTAATTCTGAAATAGTGGTATCTTTTTTGCTTGCTAGTTGCCAGGCAGATATAGTCACCACAGTGCGTAGCTACTGAGTACAAACCACAGTTCCTATCATCCTTTTTTGTACTTCACCTTCCTTCTACCATGCATTTTCCTTAAGCTCTTTCTCTTTTGATCTCCTTGAGAAAAATAGCCTCCTTTATTGATTAAATTACAAATTCCAATGGCAGGTGATTGAGTTGTATGATAACACCTGACGAAAGCCATCAACTACAATTGAAATAAAAGGAAAAATTAGCACTCTCTTTATTACAAAAGGTTTGGATGTTGAGTAGCTGACTGAATTAAATGGAGATTGAGCAGATCTGAGAGAATTCATTAGGAAAAACAATGCAGAATTCAGAGAAGAGCTGCCAAAATTAACAGCTCACTAATTCACCTTAAAAAAGATGGAAAGGTTGAGGAAGAGCATCTCTTTTTCAAGCATTAGCAACCAGGAATTGCACAAAAGCTTGCCTTTGGGATAAGACTCCTCAGATCTCCAACTCTGACACCAAGTCACCAAATACCAACAAATACATGACCAGGGGAGCAACCCCTCAGGTTCATTCATTCAGCTTCTAGTGGGCCTTTTTAATTTGTGGTATCACAAGCAAAACAAGGTTCTTGGCCTTTGTTCTGTGCCTGGGAACCAACTGCGTGTGAGCTTTTGGTAATGTGTCATTGCATTTTACCCACTGCTCATCTACACTAATGAGGTATTTTTATTTTTATCTGCTTGTGGCACTTCCTGCAATACTGACAGATGTCTTCAGCTTTCCTCCTGCCGATTAAGCAACTGTTATTGGAGTTCTAAAATGACACAAGAAGCTGATAAAGCAAAGTGTCTAAAACGGCACGATCCACTTTAGAATCATGTCATCTTCCAGTCACTTCCTTGCAAACTCCTTGCAAGGTAGAGCATAGCAAAGATGAGTTCTAGCAAAGCTCTGGAAAGAGTGTAAACACAGCTGTTAAAGAAGGGTTGCAAACATTATATTATTTACTTACAGCCTCTGCATTACTGAAGTGTCATATTCGAAGTCACGCTCCAGGGAAAATCCTTAGTAACCTGTGGAAACATCAGAAAAACATCAGAGGATATTTCTGACTGTATCTCATATCCGATGGGGAAGAGAATTTAACATCAAATTTTGACATTATTTTGGAAACAAAGTATAAATAGCATATTATTTAAGTTTAACCACAAAACAGTGTGGAAATTTTCCTTAATGCTCATCTGAAGGTTGCTTCAAAACTTGCTTCAGATGCAATCTTTTTTCTTCATATTTGCTTTCCGCAAAAATTCTAGACTACAGATTTGCTACCAGCAAATCTTTGTAGAAACAATAAATATTTTAACACACTCAATCTAACTTAGAAATTGTTCTGCCCTGGCTGAACTTTTCACAATCCTGGTTCATCCTCACAGAAGAGACAAGGAATTGCTCGTCCCAGTTTCCAAGTGGGAGATTTGCACCAGTGAGAAATGTGGGCTGTGAACACACATCTTACTCCTCACTGCAGCTTTCTGCTTGGGGACATTCCCGTCCCCACCACCCACCACCCTGCCTCATCACTCAGCCCTGCTAGAGTTCATTGCACCCTCCATTCTGGCAGCACAACTACTCGCAAATGCAGTCAGATATGGGTTAGTAAAGACCTATTTAAACTGTTTGAGCCAATCCAGGAGCTGCAACCAGATGAAGACATGGGAACGCAGCCTACACGATGCGTCCCAGGTCTCACAGCAAGCCTGGCAGGGCAGACATCTATAGCACGATTGCTGTGAGCCCATATCCCCCCCTTTGAAACACCGAGGGTACTCATCCCAAAGCAAACCACAAAATGAACAGATCTGCTCAAGAAACCCACATCTCAAAGGTTATTTTCCATATTATCACCCTTCTGTCTTATCCAAAAACCTCAATTCCACCACAACCCAATGAAAGTAAAGAGGCAAAAACTATATCAAATTATAACAAACTCTAGATTATTTTCTAATAATTTATCCTTTAGTTTCACCTTACAGCAGCACCCCACAGCCTACCCAATGCCTGCACTCTTTGTGCTAAGCACCGTGCAGACATTGGCCATGGTCGGCTCTGCTCCCTGGAGCTTACCAGCAAGAGATCAAGGAGCCAAGTGTGTAGGCAGGGAAAAGACAGAGACAGCAAAAATCAGAAGACACTTCTGCACAGTGGCTTGTGAGCACAAGTCCCACTCAGCCAGTAAGAAAAGATTCACTGTGAAGAGATTCTGACCCTGCTACCTATTACACTCGACAGACGATCTCACTGAAATAATTTATCTACTTATTTAAATGGCTTCCATTAGATCAATGTCTGAGCATTCACAAACCAGATGGGGTTTTCCTCACCGCACTCCTGAGAAGGAGCACATGCTGTTAACTCTACATCATAGACAAGGAAAGGAGATAGATACTAAAAAGAGAAAATGTTTTTTTCCACGAAAACCGAAATCTCATCTGTCAAAACCCTATATTGTGCCAGAGGGGTCCCATGGGTTAAGGTGCCACACTCAGGGATGGACCATCAGACTCTAGCCATCAGCCAACCCCTCACCACTCTGAATTCTTCCTTGAACAATGGCTTTTAAATAGTGTGAATCAGGAAAAGGAAAAAAAAAAAAGAAGAGGAAAAAGAAAAGGGGAAAAGGAGAAGGGGAAAGGAAGAGAGAAAAAGGAAAGTGAAAAAGAGTAAGGAAAAAAGTCATAATAAATGTAGCAACATCTGAAAAAAGCAAACTGCAGCAACAGAGGAAATGGTCATCCAGGTCACTGAGAGGACTGAAGAAATTGTTTTCTACAAGAAGCCTCATTCATCACATTTCCATAACCCAGAAAATGCTCCCACAGTCCCTTCTTTCAACATTTTAAGACTAACACACATACACACTCTCACATTTCCTTCCTTCTCCTATCAGACTTCCCTTGTGGCAAGAAGAAGAAATCATAGAAAAAAGATGAAGATGTGAAAATTTCTGCAGCTGTTCTGCCAGGGCTGAATCCTGAAAGTGGGAAACCCAAGGGAACCCAGGGGGGTACAGAGCATCTGACAAAAGGACTCAGTCTTCACTGCCAGTTGACTCTTGCTCTTTAAAATTATAACAGTGGAAATGCTTTTTTGGTGATATCCCAGGAGGCAGCTCAGAGCCCAGCACTCAAGGTTGTAAGAAAATAAGATGCATCTCTTAGTTCAAACCTCCAGGACTGTTAGTCTTTTTGAAAAAGTAAGCCACCGGTCAGCACAAATTCTCAGGTTTGATCACCAGAAGGATTTTGGTCTGTAAACTGCCTAACTCTCTAAATATAATAGCTCCCTTCTGGCCAGAGAATAGAGGATTCCTTAAATTCACTTGCAAGAAACTGCGCCTTCTCCTGAAATTACTTCTCAGATGTTTGAATTCCCTCTCCGGTTACAGCATGAAACCTTTCCTATCTCTCCATTAAAGCAGCAGATAGACAGATGGGATAGTCTTCATCTTTCAGGACTCTGGAAGTTTGTTTCACATTAATTTTAACAGGAACGGGATGCTCAGAGCATCTGTTGAGGTTAAAAGAACCAGACCTGTAGAGTGTACTCAGTCAAACCAGGAAAATACCAAGCCTGGTAGTCCAGTCCATAGTGCTGTCATCAGTTTAAAAGAAGCAGGATAACATAAGTAGCATAGTGTAATGGTCAAACTTCTCCCTCCTCACACCCCTCCAAATCCATGCTGTCTTAACCAAAAGCAGGGAATTCCAACGTTAAAAGAATAAACTGCCCATCCTGAGGCGAGGAGCCTGTGGGACTTAGTGCAAGAGCTGGCTCACAGCCTTTGTGGAGCAGCAGAAATCAGGCATCTCCGCTCTCCCTGAGGCCACGGCTGCATCTCTGGGGCTGCCAGCTGGCGAGTGGGACCTGCTGACAGGGACATGACTGTCACCTTGTCACTGACCGCTTCCCAACCCCAGGCAAGCCGTGTTGCCTTCCTCTGACCATGCACAAGAAGAATATAAAAATGCTCACAACCATTTGTGAAAAATCTTCAAGCACTGCCGATACAAAGATTGTCGTAGCAGAGATGGAGCTGTACCAGAATCAACACAGAATCTGAATGTCTTCTCTTCATTAATGGGTTTTATCCTCCCTTCATCCCCAATCTAAGGCAGGGAGGTGTTATTGCCCTTTTGCAAGCTATAAAAATCCCAGCACAGCAGATGGATTAAACACCTCACCCAAGGTCCCTTGGGACACGCACATCTGCAGTGCGAGCTGATCCCAAAATGCCACAAACCCAGTCTGCTGCCCTTCCCTCCAGCCCAGCCTAATTCTCTGAATTTCATGATGATTCAAAGCTCTATTTAAAGTCCCTACAGCTATGGGTGTGTGCAAGGAATTAAGGCTGAGCCAAAAAGTTTGAATTTAGCAGCTCTGGTTGGGTTTCTTCTTGGTAATAGTGAAACACAGAGCTGTGGGGTTTTAACCTGAAATAGAAAAAAAAGGTGGCATGTGTCATCTGGGTTATGATGTAAACTCCCAAGACAATTTCTTCTCCTTCCGAATTAACCTGTCTCCTAAACTGTCCAGTGGTGGCCACCCAGCCTAGCACAGTTTTCCCAAGCCGGCTGCTTGCCCACATAACAAAGGCTGCTGTGAAACAAGGAAAAATAGATACAGAAGAACAGCTACTAATATCTCTTGCAGTCTCCCAGTGTAAGGGTCGTGGCCAGGCACAGCTACATGGTGAAATGAAGGGCAGACAGGAGAGATGGCAAGGTTCAGAGACACACAACCATGGTTTACCACTCAAACCACGCTAAGCTCTTTAGGTAAGCTTTATTATTACAGATGGAATTGCTTGCCCTAGATCTGATGACCAAAATGGGGTTGCTCTCCATAATCCTTCAGAGGCCGCTTATAAATCAGAGAATACTTCACCTCTGGACACACAGCACTAATAGATAATAATGTAAATGGTCCAATATTTTAACCTTAACAGGCATTTGCTTGGGTTATTGTAGACAAAAATGAGGTCAGGAAACCTGCTTACAAGCCTTAAGTTAGAAGAGGCTCAGTCTGGGGTCAGCTGGACCACCCTGGCCTTTATTGCACTGTGCCCATGCAGCTGACAGGTAACAGCAACCTATAGGCTGGAGCTGCAATGGTGAGAGGGGGCTATACTGTTCCTACACAGCTGCACCCCACAGGCACCAGTCACCTCTGCCTCTTGGACCCCATCAAAGTCATTATCTCCATTAAAGAACCGCAACAGCAGTAACGCGATTGCTGTGAAAATAATTTTGAAGACATCAACCCCTAAACACACACAGGAAATAAAATCTGCTCCGCTATGAGCCTTTCCACTTTTCTCAGTCATCCGAGGGATGTCCTTTATAAAACATGAGATAAGAGCAGAGCTGTTGTTTGGGCTGCATATCTGTGTGGTTCCTTAGATACCACCGAAAGCCCAAAGGCAGGTCTTGGCATCTCATCCCCTTCTTATAAACTCTTTCAGAAAGTTAGAGCTGACTTTGACATGAACATGATGAGAAACGGGGAGCTATCTGTGCCATTCTGGGGAACATGCCAAATCCTGTATTAACACCCCCCACCCCATTAAAAACAAACCAAAGCAAAAAACAACAAAAAAACAACCCTCCTGTTTTGCTACTGATTAGGCAGCCGAATTAAAACTGATGAAGCGATTGGACAGGATCCAAAGCTGTTTATCTGCACATAAATCACAGCCATGCTTTACTCAGCCAGTATGGATTTACTGAACTAGGGGAAAGACCTCTTATTCAGAATGCTGATTAATACAGCAATTAAAATATCAATGAAGCAAACATTTGGGGTAGAAAGCCATTAGGGGCTCCTGGAGAAAACACTCCATTAAATATATATTCAAACAAATTTCTAATTAAAAAAAAAAAAAATAAAAGGAAGTTTTGATAGAGAGTTGGTTTGTTTCTTCTGGTTAAGTATATCATGTTAGGAAAATCAAATTGTAAAGGAGAAAAGAAAGATGCATATTAACTAGCTGGACATGCCAAAGGAGATTAAAAAGAAAGGCTGACACATATTTTATGATCGCAAGGGAATAAAAAAAAAATTAAGAGAGATGTACTGTCAAACCAGACACAGTGTTAATAGCTGAAGTATATGGCAATAAGAACTGCTGTTCCCATAGCTATTAATGTAAACTGAAAATTGGGAGCAGGCTGCAGCAAAAGAAAATAAATCACACTTTTTTTTTTCAATTTGGAAATATGTGTAAAATAAATCCCTACCCCCAACATTCACTCTCTATTTTCCAGCCCCCCAACAGCAAGACAAGGACTGTCATTTCAGCAAGCTACAACTTCCAGGCAAGTGAGACAAGTGACAATTTCTAACTATTAATCATGGCTAATTTATTTATGCAATTTTTCTACTTATCAGAATCATTGGCCTGGAGATTATCTCCCACTTTCCCTTTGAGTCCTGAGAAACTATTTAACATGGGAAGTGGCTAAGGGGGAAGGGGGGCAAAGAGGGGAGAGTGTCATGTAGCCAAGTTACGCATCCCAGCTGGAATTTGGGATGATGTCTTGCAGTTCTGACTCCTTCAGCCAAGTTTCATACAGGAAGCACGAATGCGCCAAGGGCGCAGTGAAACACACTGGAGCCAATAAATAGCACTTGACTCCATTAACACACTCATGCTATGGATCCCATCACAAAACCCTTAGTCACCCTGCAACGTGTTTGCTCACAAGGTAGCCAGCGACTTGCACAAGGGAAAGGTTCAGCAGCCAAGAGGATCCTCTGATGAAGCCTTACAGATGCAGAGTGTGTGTGTATGTGGGATGTGTGAATGCAGAGCCCTTCCAGAAGAGGCAAACGCTGCTCATATATAAAGCTTGTATGGAAATACCAGACACAGAAGGTCGTGGTGTCATCAGTGAGGTAAAGGGCAAATTGCTGTGAGGAACATCACCAGCCCCAGAAAGACAACCCGGTCTTGGCACAGAGGCTCCTCTGCAAGCCTGGGATGGGTAAGGGTGTACCAGAGAAGAGCAGGCATCCCTATCAGTTCATTCAGTTTTTACCCATACACAATGATCTGTTCCAGCTGTGCTGCAGAACAGGAATTTGTCACCAAGTGACTGTCAGAATGGGGTCTTTCTAAGACCCAGTTTTGTCTTCAGTGTTGTATTATTTATCTCTTTTTTTTCCCCAGTTACCTATAGAACACAGACAGTACTAATCCTCTCCTGCTCAGCAAGCCTTATGCACCAGTTCCCCCCGGCATCACTAGAAAAAGAAGGTGGCTTCATGTTTAATTAAATCCCCTTAGATGACCAGGAAAAAGTTTCTAAAATTCTTAGATTAAAATTTTGTAATGCATGCATTACAAGTCTGATGGTTACTTTAAAAAGCTGTTAGTAGCAAGAATAATTTCACCCAGCATAGAAATACCTCCATTTTTGTCCTGGAGTAAGAGATAACTTTTGAGGAAAGTGGTTGACAAATTGCTTGACAAATTTGTCAACTACCTTGGAGCCATCAAGATGAAAGGCTTTATATAAATGTTGTATGATTTTTTATGTATATATATAAAACACTTTATGGGACTGCTGATAAAAGCCTGAGCTACAAAGGAACTCTTTCCCCCAGCTGAGAAAAGGCAAGCTGCTAGACAAATCAGTTCAATCTCTGCCTTTCAAACAATATAAAGCAGTATAACTTTCAGGAGCAACACCTCATCTGTTTTTTTTCCAGACTGCCTATCAGGAATCAAGCAGTAAGTAAACATTTGAAAAGTGTTCCTCTGAGAGCAAAGGTTTAGATTTGAGTCACAGGATCCATTGAAAAGAAAAATTGCTTCTGTGCATTGGGACAGTGCCTTCCCTTCTGAAAACTTTATAAAAAGAATAAATGGAGATAATCTTTTTACAAGGTATAGCCCATATGGAAATTCATTATTGTTTCCCTTTAAAAGAAGTCAAGATAGTTCAGAAAGTGAAAATGGGGTCACTATTAAAAAAAAAACAGTATGTGCAGAAGATTTCCTAATGACTATATCCAGTAAAAGTATGGTTAAAAAGCTTTATCATAGTCTAAAATGAAGCTCCTGCTGATGAGAACATGAGATAAACAAAAGAGGGAAAGACATAATAAAGCCCTAAATCACTAAGAGTATTTAATGCAGAAGTGCGGGTATATGTACCCAGAGATTGTTGATTAAATATTTTAAGGATCCATTCTTCTCCTAGTACAAAACACTCGTTAGAGTAGCTTCGGCGCTGCCGCTCCCTGAAGACTGCATTACTGCTTGTTAGCCCCGCTCAATCACTGCTGTGGAGGCGCAGCTGAAAGGAATCTTTGTTCCTGCTTTACAAAAGCAAAACCGAACCTCCAGAGAAGGTGAGTGATTTGCGAAGGATTTTACAGCAGTGGCACAGCTGGGGGAAGGGAGGAACCCCAACTTATGGGCCAGTGTCTTCCAAACACGAGTCCCCATTGCTTGAGATGTTTCTACTGAGAACACCATGGAATTGTCCACTATTTTCTTCCTGCTTGTTCCACATACAGCTATGACGATTAATTTAAGGCTGTCACTAAAAGCATTGATATATATATACATGGAAAGTCACAGAGGCAGGATACTGCTTGAAGACAATATGTAGGTCTCGATTCTACTTTCAACAGGTGTGCATCTAAATAAACTCTGTCCTTCAGTGAATTTATACTGGAGATGAAAATTTGATCCTAAAAGGCCTCAGCTAAAATTACAGCTGCTTGGAAATACTTTTCTATTGTAGCTGACCTTCATCCCGAATTCAGTTTGATTACACAGTGTAAGTGTGGCAGGCACCTGAGGACAGGGCATAATCCTGTACCATATACACGCTGTGATACCCAGACAAAGCAACCTAAGCCATGGAGCCAGACACAGAGCCCTGGAAGCCACACACTTTTCTTTAACACTGATTAATTTAGGTGATCGGATGAGTCAAAGACTCAGAGGGAGCTTTAGTTCATTACTTTTTTTGGCTTTGACTATTCCAAGAGAAGTTTTAAGGGACAGAGGTTCTTTTTAGCACATAGTCATGATTCTCATTAGCATTGAAAATATGAATATGAAAAGAGTTGAAGGGGAGATGGGAAATAACTGCAAACATCTTTAGTTAAAGAAAATGCTTTTCCTCCTCCAAAGGTTACAGCTTCTGAGCACCATTCTGAGCAATGAAGATCAGAGAATTAAAACCTATTGAGAAAAGTTCACTCTTTGCAATTGTTTCTAAACCAGACCCAGGATGCAGTAAGTAGATCTGCCCAAGAAAATCCCAAGACAAATCTTTTCTGACAGTACAGCTTGGTTTGTCAACATTGACATGTCCAGTCTTTTGGTTTCACCAAAAAAAGAGGTGTGAGGGGACCAAGTTTGTCTTGATGGTCTCCTCTATCAGCATCCTGCACAGCTCCCTGCCACCTCACACTGCAGGACTCCAGGGAAACAGCTTACAGAGCCCGTGCTTTTACAGCACTGATGCCTCCAGACCAGATTCCCAAGCTTGCAGCAGCTTTTCCATAAACCAAAGTACTTGAAACCCACGCAGATTTTAAGATCAAACTCACAGGGCTTCTAGGATCCCCAATACCAATCTGGTCCCATCCTGGTGATTCATTTCCCTTTGGACTGCCTGGCAAAGAAATGGGGGTGTATACAAAATTGTTCCAGGGGAAGGGGCAGTATTCCAGGCAGGCAGCTCCCAGACTGGGATTCCTCTGAAAAAGAGGAGGCATGAAGGAGGCATCAGGAACTGAACAGGTGGTGCCATTTGCAGAGAACAATCTGCAGAAATATGTTCAGTGAGCCCCAGAAATCCCAGATGCACTGTTCATTTGCAGGTTGATGTGCTGAGCATGGGTTTGGTCATCTGACAAGGGAGGACAGGACCATATTGCTCAGTCCTGCTGCTGGAAAAAGATACACAGCCAGAGGGACCGAGTGCCACTGTCCTTAGAGAAAAAGATATAGTTGTGTGCTCCTCGTGCTCAGGAGACCTGCTCAGGCAAGTCCCTCCTGTACTGTGGGCAGTCTAGAGGCAGAGGGACAGTGCCTTAGTGAGAGCTGCTTGACTGCTTAGTGGGTCCACTGTTCTACAAAACCAGAGAAAAACATTTTCTATTTCTGTCAAAATAAAAAATTAATTTTCCATAAGGAACTTTTCTATTTTCCAGATAGAAGCTCCAGCCTCTCTAAAGTGGAAACTTTTCCTAGTTTCAGAGAGCACAAACTGGGCACAATCTGTAAATGGTATCTTCTTGTAATGCTACAGTGGAAAGCAGTATTACGAAGCCAACACCTTGCAATGCTATTTACTGAGTCTGGGACATATTCTAGGACCAAACCAATCAATTTCCATTCACTGTTCCCCTGCCCATACTACATCATGTGTACCTACACTGAGTGATTGTGAAGCAGCAGGTATTTGCATAACAATGAATTCTGGCTAAAAACACCAACAACATTATTTTTTATTTGAACTGGTATAACTGGGGCCTGAATATGACCTGACTTTTTAGTTAAACTGTGTTTCACCCGCCCACTAAACACCATCCCCGAAAGTTGCATCAGTTCTTTCCACTGTAGCAGACACATTTTTTGTATCCAAATGATTACAGAAAGCTATCTACTTCACACACAGTCTGAAATATAGAGTCCTTGCTCCCAACAAAGTCAAGGGAGAAAGGCCCATTGAGTCCAATGGCAGCAGAGTTACGAGAGCCCTGAGCCACTTGGAAAACCCTATATCTAATGTCTGTCATTCTTTGCCTTGTCCAAAAACAAAAATAGGCCATGGAGCCTCAAAAACAGAGACCAACTCTTCCAGCTCCCAGATATGTGCTTTGACTACTTGACACATCCTCTCATCACCAGAGCAGGAGAAACAGAATGATCAGAGACCAAAACCCCTCACACTGAGCAATCTGAAAAAATCATGTTTCAGCGCAACAGAGACATGTGTCATTCCATCACTAACTCACCAGCCCAGAGGCCAAGTCCGAGACAAATGTCCTGGCAGCAGTCCAAGGCTGGAGTCCCAGAAGGTAAACTCTTCAAGAATTAGTGATGTAAACGCTCCCTCTCAGAGGCAGTCCCACTGCAGTCTTCTCTGAACCCCTTGGACTCTGCAAACTTCCTTCTCTGGCATGCCTCTTTGGCCGCCTTCCTATTTTTCTCATAAGCTTGTTTGTGGATGATTTATCTGAAAAAAAAGAAAACATTTTTTCCTTCATTAAAAAAGAAGTGTGCCTGAATTTGGCCGATACAATAATGATGTTATAAAGTCCTCTTTGAGGAAGGCTCTCTCTACTTCTGTCAGGTCCTTGCTCTTTCTTGAGTTATATGACTAAGATCTTGGGAAAATAGCTCATACCCTTCATGGTCAGCATCACCTCCCCTTCTCCCTTCTCCCTCATCACAACATTTATTGAAACAACTTAAATGATCCCCTGCCTGCTCTGAGTGTCAAGTCTGAAATAGTCATAATCTCCAAAGGCCCTACTTTTCATCCATGGCTGACCAGGACACAGAATCCCTATTCAGTGTAAACATGACGCAGTTTAGTTTCTCCAAAGACCGTTTGTTTACTTTCTTGAAGAGACTAAGAGTAAATATTATTTGGTAGGCTCGAATTTCATGGAGTCCAACTAAACAAGGGCTCTGGATCACTAGATGCAGCATAAACATATGGTAAAATGTTTGTAATCATCCCCAAGACTACAGAGGCGTCCTGTGAGGCAGCCAGGAAAGGAACTGAAGTCAACTTTCTGGATCCCAGTGTAGAGTCTTAAACATAAAGCCATCTTTCCTCCATATCTCTGCTCTCAGAAAACACTTATTTTCTGAGTTTCTGCCTAGCTATCAAATATCTAAAGCTAGCAGTTATCCATCCTTCAAGTCAGTTACAATTTTAATTGCAACTGGTTTCCTAAGTTGTCTCTTCTTGTAGTAGTTTTTGCTGAAAATATACCTCCCATCATCGCATGGGCTCCGTTCTAATCAAGCTGTGCTGTTCTCTCCACGTGTTTGGCACCACATTTAAAAATCAAAGTGCCGAATTCCTCTGTGAACTACTCAGATGCAGCACTTCTATATGCCTATCAAATGCAGAGTGAAGCCAAACTGTGACCCTAAATAAGCTGATATATGAAAACATGACAGCGTTTCTTTGGCTAGAGGAAAAGAGATTATTTATAAAGCCTTTACTTTATTCTTTGTGGCTGTATTACAAAACAAGCTATAATAAATCTCCTCAGATTGTTCTAAACAGTACAAGTAAACTTAACAAAATGAGATGTACATGCCAACATCATAAGTGCTTTTCCAAACAGCCATGTTAGGCACAGTTACAGCACTGCTCCAGGTCAGTCCAGTCCAGTAATAATTACAAGTGTTAAGAACATACAACACGAAGACCAGATTCAGAGCAGAATCCAGCCTCTTCCACCTATAGAGAAAATAAAGTTCAAAGAAAACCCAAGAAAGAGTGAACAAAATCTCAGAGATGTAAGGAAATCCCTGAGCCTGCCCTATATGCAGAGCTAATGACGGCTCTGTTAGGGAGGAATGGCGCAAAAGATGGAGAATTTGCCAGACACTGACAAGCTGAGATAAAACAAAGAGAAACAGTTATAAAGAAAGACTTGTTTTCCCTTGGTGATGAACTACTCTGCTCAATTACAGACCCAGAGCAGAGACAGGAATTAGTCTATGGTATCTAACCAAAAAAAGGCGACTGACACCTACTTAAAGGAGGGAAGACCCTGGAAATGAGTCCTTAGTTTAACAACACAGGAAAGAGTTTTCTCATCCCACAAAGAGAGATAAAAATGAGACCTTCTCTAGGGAAAGACCATGCAGCATCTGCATCCCAAGGAACAATCCAATGCCCCAGCATAAAAACTGAAGTTTAAATCTCCACACGGCTTAATTTAGCCAGACCCTTTTAACATTTGTCTTTCACTTCTCAGCCAAAAGTCTAAGCTACAAAGTTACTGATTATTCAGAGATACCTATATATCTGTATCCTAAATAGTGACCTGAAACCGCTAGCACATTCCCAACCAACTCTGCTTTCTAGTAACACATGACACCAGCCCGCCTAAGCTATATAAAATACCCCATCAAATTCTGAAACATCCGCGCTTTCACCTTTTAACACCACAGAAGACAGTCTGCATTAAGGCATGTTTTAATGCTAATCACACAGCTTTCTGCAGCTCCATACTTCCTTTGCTCAGTGCAAAAGCCGACATGTTTTGGGGCATTAATAGGGGTATCCAGGACCATTATTCAGAGAAGTGAAGGCAAGAAGGGACCAACAGATCATTTTCTCTGACCTCCTGCTGACAACTCAGCTTCCCCAGTTACACAACTGAGTCCAGTAAGTGCTACACATTAGTTGATGAACACTAGTAATGTGCTATATGGATCCAAAAAATATTCCCACAAAACACCCAGGGAGTGTTACCTGTCCAAGGGCCCTGGAACAACTCTACTAGTATAAATTTTACGGGTTATTATTCAACAACCTCAATGACTCATATGAGGGATGGATTAAATCCATGATTGTCATTCTCTGACTCCAGCCAAAAAGATTGAGTTATTTCAGAAAAATGGCTTGCACTTACTCTTGATAATTTGCATCTACTTTCCCCAGCCTTTACAGCTTCTTTCTGTGACACTTAACTGCCAGTGCAACTGCTGCCATTGCTTTCGCTGAGCATCACAAACACTTTATTACTGATTTTTAGCTCATCTGCAAAGAGTAGAGATGTGAGAACAACTGGGATGACAAGTACTCCAAGCATCTTACAAACTTATGACCAGAACAGAAACTTAGAAACCAAGACTTAGAAACTCATACCTGGAATAAGGAGGTAGCAGATAAGGTAAATGGTATATCCAGTAAGGGATGTATAGAACCAAAAGACAAAACAGAATAGATTGCAAAAATGGATTAATTTCTGCTGTAGAGGAAACAACGTCCACACCAGTAAAGACAGCTACTCCTGCATACATTTATGTGTTTGCACTGGGGAAAAAGTCTTGACCAGGAACCAGGTTTCCATCTGAAACTTTCTGGTAGCTGGAAACTGATGATTTTCAATTTTTCCAATGAAAATCTCAAAGCTTAAAGAAAGACTTCTATAAAAGCAATGTTTTTACAGGAATAAATTAATTTTCCAACCAGCTCTCCAACATTCACATCTATAGTGGCATGTAACAACTGATCCTAGTTTTAGGCTGACCTATTTTCCTCACAAAAAGCAACACTGCTTTATTTCTCTTTGGGACACCACCCTTTTTCATCTCAGATGAATTATGGAATAAAATCTACTGGCTTCTCCATTTTCATTGCTGCTGGCAGAGACCAATGCCTTAAGATTTTTTTTTCTTTTCTAGTGTACAGTTGGATCCCTAGCAAGCTCTGCCCATCAGATTATTCCATTAACTTTCCAAATGACATGAGATCACAGTTTTACATTCACTTCCTGATCACTATCAAGGTCCTGGAAAAATTGCATTAATTTTTGAGCAGCTCAAATCCTTATGAGAATTTTGTTACTTAAACAGGAATCATCAGCTGTGTTGGACAATATGAACCATTTCCATGCACTGAATGCTATCATTTAATTTCATTTTCAGACACTGCAAAACCCACCAGTTGGGGATCATTAGCTGTTAACTGGGATTCCGGTGAAACCTCATTAATTAGGTACTTTGTGCCTGTCAATATATTTAAAATAAAGCAAGAAATATCAACCCTGTATCTGTGCCACAGAGATAAACACTTTTGTTAATTACCCGTCTTCATCCTATTAGAATCACTGACTTAAATATCAGTATCAGCTCTATCACTGTTCACTAATTTCTGTAAGTTTACACTGGAAATACTTTGGGGCCACTTTTACTCAGAGGTGAGGTTCTGGCAATATGCATTCACGGTGGTTTTTTCCTAAAGCCTTCTTGGCAACACAGATACGCGGCTGTTTTCAGACATGCTCCTAAGAAATGCTGTAGCAGGCAGGAGACTAAGAGCCCATTTGGAGCAGCGAGACCTGTAGGTGGTTAATTAAGATCAATCGCTGCATTACTTACAGCCATCAGGTCAGCTCTGCTTCAAGGAAACAGTGGAAGTGGAACACAAGAGTTGGATTTTGAACTGGTACCTCTGGGGTTTCCAGTTGTCTCCGCAACACAGTGAAGAGCAAAGCACCCAAGTCCCACAAAACCCTAGGAAAAATTCCCACCCAGTCTTTCTGTAACATGGTTCTGAGCAGACACAAGTGCTGTGAGGCTGTAAATCTCCATGCGGTCTATAAATATCAGCTTGTACAACCACAGAACCCTTAACATTTTATTTCATATTGTGAAGCCACAAAAAATCTAATTTCTTTCTTAACTGTTAGAGACGAAAGGAGGATTCTCAGCATGTACCGATGCTACTGTAGTGCCTTTATTCAAATACGGATTATTGATGCAACTAATGGTCATGATGGACAAGGCTGACACAACACCACTGGGCTCTCCAGTCAAACCCACTGCATCAGGCAGGAAAGATTCAACTCCACACTTGCCGAATTCGGAAACCAGAATATTTCTACCTAGTTTGTCATAACTACCTCATTAAGCAAATGATTTCCTTTTCTGCCTGCCCTTAACCATCTAAAAGTTTAGCCTCATTTCCAATTTGAATTTGCCCTTTATTAAATTGAATTCATTGTTCTTTGTGTTACTACTTGTGTTATGTGTCATTTCCTTTTCCCGGTATTAAATGACCCTTGAAGACGATCACCCTGCCATTAAATATTTCTTTAGATGAAATTGGCTAAATTCATTCCCACTCTTATATCTCCTTTAATGTTGCAGTCTTCCTTTGGAGACTGGTTTCTGAAGTTAAGTGCATGATCTCGGTGCATGATACTACAGGTGTGATCTTTGCAACAACATAATAACACATTTCTAAATTCTCTTATCCTGACAATCCTCTTAGCCTCCAAGCCTTTTAAGTGATTTTGTTATCCTCAAACACATCAAACTAAAATGAGAGGTGTTTTGTTAACTTCCATCAACAAATCCTTCTTTCCCTGACTGCTTTTATTTTGCATCACTCATACTCAGGATCCATTTGCTG